ATATTCTAAAATTAAAGAACTATTCATCTGAAATACTTACGAGTGAATTTTTATCATCAGAAATTTCAGAACTAATCAAAGATGTTGGAAGTGAAAAATTCGCAGCAGTAGTTACAGATGCTGCATCTAATTGTCATTTGTCGCTTTTTAGTGATTTTAACTCTTGCCATTTTAACCCATACCATATTTTTACATTACAATATTATATTATCATCGAACCATGTCTAGCTCAACTGAAGTCTTCGCTCCATTATGTAACTTTTTAAAAACTGCTTCCTTAGACAAAATCACCATTTCGAGAATCTTCACTCAGCAATGGAAACTATTTAAGATTCAATCTAAAGAAGAAGATTGCGAATGTCTTATGAATATATTAAAAAGCGTTGAAAGTAATATTAAGAATAAAGAGCGTAGACAACATATTATAGCATTACAAGACATTAATAGAGTAAGTAAAAATAACATTTCAATATTATTTATAAAAATGATGAATGTAGTCTGTAACCAATTAATAAGTATAATGCGATCGAATTAAGTTATACACTAACGAGGGTTCTTTTTCATTATACTTATAATGCTATTTATGGACAGCAAAAATGCCGGCAATTACTGATTAGGCGAGTCTGACTTGCGCAAGAATGATGTTCTGTAACTATACTAACTATATTAAACCACTCTATTTTTTAGATCAATTATACCCGTAATGAACTCATATCGTTGAAAGATGCGGGTGAATTGAAAGGAGATTTTAAAGAATACAAAGACTGGAAAAACGAGGCATCTAACAACATAGCTATTTTGAAAAGCGCATTCGAGAATGGAGGGACGCGATCCCATGATCATATTTATGCGAAACTTTGTGGAGTAAAAGTTAACGATTTATTACAAAACGATCCATTATGCGTTGGGGTAATTGACTTTAGTTCAGATAGATACCAACTCCCGGAAAATAACTATAAAGATCTTGTGGTATGAAATAAAAATCAACTCCATTAATTAATAAAAATGTGTTAACTGTTTCTATTAAAATAATTTTACTAGGGAGAAAAGGGTGATATAAGAGACTTAACCAAAAGTGCCGGAATTAAAAAAATATGTACCGATTTTGTAGTAAGAAGAAATGAACTTAGTCGGTTTCGCAAACTTGTATTATCGCAATCAGAAATTATAACGCATAACCAGTGGATTGAAGAAGAATATGGTAAAGAACGTGCAGTAAGAGACATTATCGACGTACTTTTACAAGAAATAAAACTAAATGCGCTTCGTAAGGTTTCTCATGGCTCAGAAAATTCCCTTGTAGAAATTATAGCGCGATTAATAGACACCGCTATGTGTCGCCTGCCTATAAGCTATGAAATTGAGGTTACAAGAGCCGAGTGTCAAAGCATAGCTAGTAAAAATCGTAAGGTTCAACAACAAAAAGGGTCAAGAGGAAATAAACCGGACCTTATGATTCGTATGTTTGTCCACAAAAAATGGGAAGAAATTGTGTATCTTGAGAGTGGGAAGTGGAACTGCAATGATGAAAAAATTCGTGACGATCGTAACAAATTAGTGCAATTCTGTTTAGACGGAACAGAAGAGCTTTTTAAAATTTGTAAAAAAGAATCTCTTAATAAAAATTATATAGGATTTGGTGTTAACATTGCAGGTAAGTATATAGAAATACATGGGTTGATACGCGAAAATGGTATCAAATATTACCTTCCCATTTCGCGGGCAAAAATACCTTTTGAAGACGAATCAGTCGATGAAGTAGAGGAATTTGTACATGCTTTATTGATTTTACGAGTAAGTATTTATTGTCTATAAATATTTATATAACAAAGTTATTGATGCTAATACTTAATTTTTAGAATGGAATGATCGTAAATGCGAAGGTATTGTCAATTCAAAAAATATCTAGGGAGATTAACCCTTCCCATAGAAACTGGAAATTTAAAAAAGAATAATGCATTTTTAGAACATAATTATATTGTATATATATATATATATTACTTTTCTTATCGTATCAATAAAGCTGGCCCTGGTGGCTGATTTCGCATATATAATCGCGTTTACTTTTGCATGTGTATTTCGTGAATTTGTTTATCGTATTGATAACAGATAACGATATATATTAATCTGTATATGAGTATTTTTTTGGCGTTTTACACTTGTTGGATTTAATCCAACGATTTAATCGCGTGACCGATTCGGTTTAGTAAAAAATAACGACTAGTTGTCCACTGTTTTCCTAATACTATTCTTGAGATCACAATTGAGTGATATATATATTTTATATTAATATTTATTTATCTACCATATTAATAAAAAATTTCTCATTTTTCTGAGACGGCCCCGTCCCGGAAAAATCTTACCCATACCTGAAGAAGATTCATCATCCACACCAGCTAAGGCAGAGATCAATATCGACTATGATGATGTATATTTTGATGATTCCGATGAATCAATAGACTCGAACCACCCAATCCATGACATTCTCTTGTGTGAAGAAATTGCTCGATTAGAGCCGGGCCAAAGAGGTTCGAAGAACCAGGCGCTTTCACATGATGATAGTGAGTACATACCTTCGAAGATAAGTCTTCTGCGTATATTTTATATAATGATTACGCAGAAGACTTATCTTCCACCTGCCTTTCTTTTACGATCTGCACGACAATGATTCTGAAGAAGAGATGCCAGATGATTCGAATGATGGATATGATGGATAGGGATATAATGAATATGGTGAATGCGATAGAAGTTATTATTATGATTTAAGTAGCGGGAAAAAAACTTATAAAAATTCTGATTATTTAGTTGGCGCATATTAACACGCGATACTAGAATCCCAGTAGTAACCGTAAGAGCATAGATTAATAAAGTTAACTCAATAGTCTCCACTAATTAATAATCGCAAATTACATTGTAAAAAATCGTACAAAAATAAAAAATGGCGAGGGGATTGGACCCCCTTTCTTTATTTCATAAAAAAAGTTGCCAAACGGCTTACAAATAAGAAAAATAAAATATATATGTTTTGAGAGGATGAATTAATTATACATTTGATCTAACATTTCTTCGGCCTCACCGGGATTCATATCGTCCCAGTCATCATTCCTTATACGTCTTTCTATAGATTCTTCTGAAAGTGGTGTCCAGAAATCACCTCTCTCTTTATAATACTCATCGTCTTGTAAGATACCATAGGTCGAATTATCTGATTAAATAAAATTTTACTTCATAAGCATTTTTTTCTTATAAATTCGAAAAAAAATCTAACAGAATATATTATCACCCCGCAGATCGGAACGAGGGGTGGGTTTCACTTACCATGCCTGTTTCTTCTATTATTACGTGAATTGGATGTCCTTTGGTTAGGCCTTGGATTGGGCGGTGTTGGGGGGACATAATAGGTCTCAGAGAGGTTGTCATTAGTCGTGGAAGTGGTGCTGGCGTTATTATCATTGGTCTTGGAGGCGTTACTATCACTGATTCTGGGGGCCTTATTTTTCTTGTTTTTGGTGGTGTTATCGTTAGTGCTCATTTTTCGTTCCTAAATAAAAAACATATAGTAGGTAAAAATTCGATTTTCTTAGTCTCTATTAAATGGTACATTACTTTTTAAAATACGGGCAAGTGAATCAAGTAAAAATATATATGAGCAAAAATAATGTTATTGCTAACTTATCTTATAGGTGGGAACTTGCATTTTTATACCGTTCGCTAGATCTAAAAAATCTGCCAGAAAAAAAGTTACATGATTAGTAATTGCGGTAGGGTAACGCAATCTAGATTCCACCATGTAAAGCAAGTCTACTCGGTCATAAGTTCCAAATGCTGAATCTATTTTGCCATTTTTTTTTAGTTAAAATATGACCCCCAGATTTGCTGATCGTTTAGAGTAGGCTAGATCTCGGAGATGGCGGAGATTCAAAGTCCCTGTAACATATGAATTTTGATAAAACTACTGATAAAGAACGTTATACTCATTGCCCTTATAGCCTTTTTAAGTCCATTCTTATCGCGGGATCTTATATAAGGTAAGGAAAAAGTTCTAGAGCGCCTAGTTATTAACTGTTAATCAAAAATCGACCGTGAGAAATGTTTCTGCAGGAAAGTGACACCGCTAGGGTTGGCATTACATAAATTACAGTTTTCGTTACATGAAATTACATTGTAACTTACGAAATTGTAATGTAACTT